ATGCCATTAATGTATTCATAGGTCCAATTACAATATGGATAATGACCTAAAATTTTTTTGCTATTGTGATTAAAATGAAAACAATAAGGAGCTAATTCTACCAGCGATAGAAATACAGGAGGTAAACTTATGCGATTGTCCTTCATATTATTGCTAATCTTATATGAAGCATTTACTGGAATGCTAGAATACCACCACCAAAAAAAACTCAAAACTTTTCAAAGCTTTTCAAAATCATTTTTCTCAGCAGCCAAAAGGCATTAGCTAGGCATATGCTGCTTGCTGTAACTAAAAAGAAATTGCAACAAGGTAGAGAACAGAGCCCATTGTCTTCGTGGGCCTTGCTAAAGAACCACATTGCAACTTGCTTTCTGTCCGGGAACCATGCCAAAGCACAAGAATGAAACAACTGGAACACACTGAAATCCCTCACCCCCTCCCTTGCCAAGAGTCCACAATAGTTCCAAGACAGCCCTCTGTACATGCTCAGGGGAACACATCATAGGGCAGGACTCCTGAGGGAGGAGAAAAAAAGAAGAGATCTGGGGGGTAAAATCCAAGTGATGTCAATAAGGATGAGAATGGTAAATTAGTCCAATGGCCACTTCCGAGCAACCTGTGTGATATTTCGTGGCTCGATTATTGGCATGTAAAAACCACAATCCAGAAGAAGTCACACAACTATTTCTGCAGATACAGGAGCCCATTTGCTGTAAATAAGCCTGATGTATTGCTCCTTGTACTGCTTAGTCAAAAGTCCAAGCCCAATGAAGCGTGATGACACAGATGGGATGGTTGCTATTAGGAGGCAGCAAAACTATAATGATGTTTGGTGGTTGAAGTGGCTTCCCAGAGAAAAAGGGGGGCCAATGCGGTGGAGATGAAGATGGCCTTTCAACGTGCCAAGAAACACTGGAACAGCTGTGGAAGGTGACTTTATCCAGGGCACATCAATATGGCGATGTCTCCAATTGCAGTGCAGGTTGAGATTAGGTGAAATCAAAGAAGTTGGACCCTTCCACTGTGGATCTGGAAGCAACCTGTAGGACACTAAAGGGCGTTGCAATATTTCTTCCTTCCAGAAATGAAGTTCAGCAGGCGTAAAATTCCTGTTGCCAAATAACCAGGGTGACCAATATGTGATCTAAGATGTGCTTCATAAAATTGACAAGTCCTGGCCTGTATCAAAGATGGAGCACTTTGTGCTGGAGTGACATAGCTGTGCGGTAGATCTGCACTGCGCACGAAAATAGTCCACTTTGCTACATCCAAAGCAGGTTTTATCCTTTGCAGGATTCTGGGGCACGGTGGAGGACAAAGCCATGGCTAGCAGGCGAGCTTTATGCATCTCAGTGCCCACTGACTGGCAGGCTTTAAGCACATCTGCAATGGCTATATTTGGTGTTGCCATTAGAAGGTGCAGCGCTTGCTTACAGTCCTCATTCTCAAACGCAAGCTGGCGGACAATCAGTTCTTGGGCTGCTACGTCCTGAACTTGCCGCTTAAGAGTGTTATCCAAGCGATCGACAAATTGTCCATAGGGCTTTGTAGGACCCTGTCTGATGCTGCCACCGCGCTCATTCTTGTCATCAGGAACAGAGGACAAAGCTTCTTGGGCGGCAGCAGTAGTAGCTGTCCAATACATGGGATCAAGGGCCAACTGTTGGGCAATAGTAAGAAAATTGCCTTCGCCAGTTAAGCCATCAAGAACATCAGTTTGGTTCAGCATAACAGGGGCTGGGGGTGCAGGGCCATTGTCCTTGACAGAAGAATACAGTTCCTTTATGAATCTCAAATCAAACTGTTCGTGCCGGGCTGGGCCTCCCCCTGGCGCGGCAGGAGCAATCACAGGAAAAAGATTAGAAGTTGTAGAATCAAAAGCCAACAACGGAGCAGCGGCACGGAGAGATTCTTGAAGTGGGGTGGAAGCAGTGCCAGATGCCTTGGGCGGAGGAGGTGGAAGAGCGGGGGGTGCTGCAGAATTTGAAGAATGCAGGGGAGTGACGGGAGAAGCCGGAGGGAAAATGTCCGGCGGTTTAGGAGGTATGTTTGAGGCAGGCAAAGCGGGAGCTGGGAGGGTGGGCGAAGAAGCTGTTGCCGCAGCCAGAAGAATGTTTGAAGGAGTTAAGCACGACATAGCTTTGTAGACGTTACTCCAGGCGTGCAAAACCTTGACATCAATCTGAGGATGATTTTGAAAGAAGTGTCCAATTTTTTTCCAATCGTCTAACTCCCAATTTCCGTCCTGGGGGAACCAGGGACAGTGAGTGTCCAGGGCTTTTATAAGGGACTTAAGGTCAGCTTTCCGAACAGCAAGGTTGTTACTGGCCAAAAGGAATTTAAGGTCTTTAAAAATTTTTTTCTGTGGTGCAGAGAGAGATTTTCCCATGATTGCAAGAGTTGCAAAAAGAGCAGGGAGCACTTACCGGAGGGATCCGTAGGAGGATGAGGAAGGCGCCTTTTGCCCTGTCCGGGCGGAGATAAGTGCTGATAAGTCCGTAACGTAGTCCAGAATCACATTCACACGGGAGCTCCCACCGGGGATCCACTACGTGGATGAACGACGCGTCTGCAGCCCTGACGGGCGAGGTGAGGCTGAACGTTGTAAAACAGCATGAAGTCCGAAAGAAATCACACGGGAGCACTCACCAGGGATCCACTACGTGGATGAACGACGTGTTGGTGAGTGCTGAATAATGAAAAACAACGTGAAGTCCGAAGGCAGTCACACGGGAGCACTCACCAGGGATCCACTACGTGGATGAACGACGTGTTGGTGAGTGCTGAATAATGAAAAACAACGTGAAGTTCGAAGGCAGTCACACGGGAGCACTCACCAGGGATCCACTACGTGGATGAACGACGTGTTGGTGAGTGCTGAATAATGAAAAACAACGTGAAGTTCGAAGGCAGTCACACGGGAGCACCAATTGTCGAGTTGCAGCTCGGCATCCAGAGGAAAATCAGTCTCACACCAAGATAGGTTCCGAAATATGGCTGCTCCTAGGGCTAATGCAGCACAGCTTTTATTGTGTGAAATAAGAAAGATACAAAAAATACAAGCCAAGCAATTTGTTCTAGCCAGCAGATAAAGACCTTGGTACTAGACCATGCGAGCGATCAGGCCATGCTACGTTAGCCAATCATATGGGACAGCACGAGCTGTTCACGCGCTGTTCATGCTCCAAGGATGCTTCTAGCTATGAAATCACCCTGTAACAATAAGAACTTTGCTCATGCTCTCATGTACAAGCAATCATTTTCCCACAAACTAGGCCCCTGACAACCTTCGAAAACCTCCTCCTAACAACAAAGGGAAACGGTAAAGGGATGGTATCCGCAATATACAAAATACTGCTCCAAAATCCCGCAAATCCGCTAGACGCAATCAAAAAACAATGGGAGAATGACATAGGCTATGAGATTAACCCCACTCAATGGACCAGAATGTGGTCTAAACCCCCCTTTAAATCCATATCAACGAAAAGAAAAGAACTCACACTGAAACTCACCTACAGGTGGTACCTAACACCAAGGAAACTAGCGCTAATACACCCAGGAACCTCACCAAAATGCTGGAGAGGGTGCACCTCCACAGGCACATACTTCCACATGTGGTGGGAGTGTCCCAAAATCCAACTATTCTGGACAACAGCCATACAAGAAATTTGTAAAATAACTAAGCAAGTAATAGACACCACCCCAGAATTGGCCCTACTAAACATCTTCCAAGACAACAATGCCCATTTACACCACAAAGAACTCATAACCCACCTGCTCTCAGCAGCCAGAAACACCATAACCAGACACTGGAGAGACCTGTCAGGAGTAAGCATGGACCAATGGTATCAAATAGTATGGGAAACAGCCCTACTAGAAAAATTAACTAATAAACTGAAACTGACACGGGGACAAACAGAAGAAGATGCCTTCACCCCGGTATGGCTCCCCTTTATCACACACACAGCCCAACAGGACAATGACAATAATCCACCAACAGCATACAAATCAATATGGCTAACCTGATCCAAAACACCCACCCACCTCACTCACACACGAAAACAAAAGATCACCACAGCCAATCACAAGCAAACAATCACACCCTAGGCCAACCCCAACCTCTCTCACCACCAAAGGAACACAAGTGAACAACACAAGCACGCTGACACCAAACTCTACATACATTAAACATAATAGAAACACCGCCACCCAATCCCACCCTTATCCATCTTCCCCCTCTCCACCCCCCTTTCTTTTTTCTCTCCTTTTTTATTTTTTATTTTTATTTTCTTCTCCCCCTAATGCCTCAACAAATGAAAAGGATTTGTAAAAATGTTACATGGGGAAAAATATATATGAGGCACTACACTTCTGTAAAACAAGAAAATCCTTAATAAAATATTTAAAAAAAAAAAAATACATTATGGCCAGTTATCAGACTAGAACAGTAATGCTCAGTACTATACATGACAGAATGTCCAAACCAGAAGAGGCCACATACCTGTGATATTTCAGTGAGGATGATCCCTCGGTACAATTTGCCTTGTCCTAGGGCCTCCATTTCTTCCAGAAACCTCTTTCGATCTTGAACTTCATTAACCACTGAGCATTTTATTTGGGGGGGGGGGGAGAGAGAAAATGAAACAATGGAATGAGGGAGCCTGAAGGCAGGAACACATAAGTACTCCCGGAACTCTGACTCATCCAATTTCCTAATTACTACACATATTGTATTCATTTTTAGTATGCTCTTTAAACTTGGAAAGGACCATTGCTCTCTTGGAAAGAAAGCTTGATGACTGAATTGGTTTATTTACATGTATGAAAAGGAAGTGCCTAATTAATTTGTCAAATTTGCTTGCAATAGAAAAGTGGCGGTCAGAGCCTTCGGTAACTTTAAAATGGGACTGAGCAAATTTATGGATATCAACTTGCTGGCGTCCAATATACGTCAACCCCAGGCAGCATGGCTCAAGGGCCAGGAAGATGGGTGTGGTGCCCTCCAGATGTTTTGGACTACTCACTTGGTGAAGGCTGAGCTATAATAACTAAATAGGAACTCCAAATTCAGAGGAGCTGAGCATATAAATTCTATTTGCTGTGGTTGGAGGGCAACAAGTACAGGCCAGCAGTTGCTTGCCAGAATGTTAGATTGGATGGCCCTTACGCTGATCCAGCAGGAATCTTTCATCGGAGCATTTATATTCTGCCCTTCTAGTTTTGATACACCACATTGGGGTGCCTTAATATACATTAAAAATACAATTCTATTAAAAAATGGTATAAAACAATTACTTTAAAAAATGGTAAACAATTACAAATATTGTAAAAATACTGTCCTAAAAATTTAAAATAACATTTTGTTTCCTTTTTATTTTATTTTTATTTATAAAAGTATTTAATTTTATACCATCCTCTCACCAATCATCAGAGCAGTGTACAGCCCTGTTTATGAATGGCTTTTGCCTGATCACCACCAATCAACATATTTGAATGCAGAGGAAAATATGCATAGCTTTCCCAACTTGCATGTATGTATATCACCTACTCAGCATGTTTTCCAAATCAAATATGAGAATATTCCCCCGCACCATTGGCAGATACTTTTCAGAATGAGCTCATCTCAAGGTGTTTGATGCCACAGCTGTCACTGGCACTGTGAAGGTGTTCCCATGCACATGGGATGCACCTCTGGGGCTCCTAAACTAATGGGGGGTCTGCAGTGTGAATTCACTTTACACGGAGGACACAAGCCCACAATACATGTGCTGTTTCTATTGTGGCAGGAGTTCATTTAACAAGGAAAACTAGGCTGCCTGTCTAGTCTGCTTGTATATTTGGACAGCTTTACTGAGTCAGGTCTGCATTGTATGTGCTCAGACGTGACTTGTAACTCATTATACCCATCTTAAATATGTATTACTCTTGTATCAGACTGCTGTAGTGGCATCACGGGGAACAGAGGGCACCACTGACCAAAGCAATGCTTATGGGGTAGAATTTGTCCTGCACTCTATAGTTCCTACTTAGTGAGTGAGGTAACCTTATATGACAAGACACAATAAGGGAGATTTCTTTACTTAGGGCTCTCCCTGAACCCAATAATACAACTCTTACTTTCCTCTGACCAGTTCCTATGCTTCAGAATGGGAGAGCAGCCTCCCTACCATACATAGAGCACCAGATCACTGCTTTCAACCAAGGCAATCCATTGTACATACATTCTTCAAACCGGTCTGGTTCTGGGACCTTCTCTTCTGCCTTGACTGGCTCTTTCTTCGGCTTTTTTTCAACTTTGTCCTTTCCTGTTGCAAAAATGTTTTGGAGTCTTTCCTTCTCCTTCTCCAGGTCTCCTACAAATGCCAAAGCAAGCAGATGATGTACAACATGTGGGAGAAGTGCTTTCTTCTATTGCAAGCTCTTCAGGCAGTTTCTGTGCTAGATATTCAGAGCTCCTACAAAGATGTCTGCATAGGAGACTTCTCAAAATCAGGCACCACAGACTGTAGGCTGCAGAGGCCATGCATCATGAAAATGACAAACATTTTGGGTAGAAGTTCTGACACAAATCAATCAGCAATGGTAATGTGAAACAACCTGAACACAGCAAGGTATGGCAGGCACCAAAACTGGTAAGAGGAGGGCAGAGGTTGCAACACAATCCTATTCATATTTACTTGGCAGTAAGTCCCACTATGTTCAACAGGGCTTGCTCCCAGGTAAACATGCATAAGGCTTGTAGCCTTAGTAATGGAAACTAGATTCTATTAAGCTTTTCAGAGGAGAGGTGTGAAAACTGATTTAACACCTGGAAAATTTCAGTGTGTGGTCTAAAAATTCTGCTGAGCTTTCACAAACAGGAACTTTCATAAACGTTACTGCAAAGAAAACTTGTGAGCTACTGCACTGCAGTGGCTAGGAGCTGGAAGCCAGGAATTTCCCAGTTCAAATCCTGCCCTCAACCATAAACTTATTGGTGGCCCTAGGCAAGTCACTTATCCATCAGCTTCAGCACAAACACACCCACCCATTGCACATGGAAGGACTGTTAATGCTGGCCTGACAGGGCTGTTGTGAAGAGCACTAAATCCATTTTACATTTTGAAGCGCTACATAAATGCAAAATGTTGGCAGAGTTACTTAACTCCCATTTCAAAATTAGCCTCCTGGGAATGTTATCATTTGCAAAGGTTTGCTTCCTTACGGGTGGCCTGGGGCCTGAATTTCTCCTGGATGTATGCATCGCCTGCCCGGCACATCTCAGCAGGCCGGAGACGAGGTCTTCCATATGGACTGATGGACAAAAAAGCCTTTGGTGGCGAGACAGGCTTGGAAAGCTCTGGTTCTTTGCTGGATGTTGGGTTGCATTTATCAGGAAGGGAGTCACCTCCTAAAGAAGGAAAGACCAAGAGCAGAAGATCAAGGAAGGAGATCTTGTGACTTACTGATAGAAGTAAGTGAATGTAATCCGGAGGCTTCAAAGGTATACCTGGTAAAAACCAAGCATTTCAAGAGCTCAGATTTGAACCAAAGGCCTAACACAGCCAAGCAGATGCAGTGCTCTACTCACAACCTCTCAGCAGCGGCTCTGGCAATTGGTTTGGCTGCAAATGCATGGTGCAGCATGGTAGATGACATTTAACATTCAGAATCTTTTGATTCTCCGCTTTTAATAAAAACTACCCAAATCTAGTTTTACAAATCTAGTTTTACAGTATATGCAGTGACCAGAACAATAAAACAGCCTTTATTATGTCTCTACAGAGACAGCTGGATAGAACTAGTATCTGTTAGGGAATCATCCATGACTCATTTCCACTTACGTTCTGTATTACTGCTTGAGTCAATGCTAATTTCCTTTCCAAAGGGATGATTTGTTTGTTTGTAAATGGATAACATGAATGTGACTAAACCGTATTTGGACTAGTAACAACCAACAACCCAGCAGAAATGCTAAGTGTAACGGCAAGGCTGAAATTAGACATAACTCACGCTTTATGCAGTTTGTGAGATGACGTTGCTGGAAGTTGGTAAGTTTGGATTCTTGCATCATCACTGAAAAACAGAAGCTATCTGTAAATATCATGGCCTGAAAATTCCTAAGACATCATCACCTTCACAGGATTAGTTTTAACATAAACAGGAAGAGCAATGGTCCTACAGATTCTTAAAAGATCTTAGGTAACGTGTGTGGGTTTTTTTTGGGGGGGGGGTTAAAGTATATACAGCAAAATAACTACTTAAATCTTCAAATGTGTGATTTGCCATCAGCTCCCACTGATCTCAATAAGTGGAATTCTTGGGTGAAATGGTGATGACTATTTGAACTTTTCAAGAGGCCCCCAAATGGAATAATTGATTTCCCCCATATTTCTGAAAAATAATACAAATATTTTAAATACCTTCTGAACCACAGAAATCCAAAGGAAAGAGACACTTTGAGTTTGTACTGGATCTTTCATTTTAAAAAGTATTATTCAGAATAATACAGAATAATATACAGAAGCTTTTTTTCTTTTCTTTTTTACACAAAATTGCAGATCAGTTTAGAATCTGTTTCCATTAAAACTTCAGTGGACAGCAGCAGTGAGAGAAAGCCAATCTTTGCCGATAAGGAGCTAACTGCAGAGCATGGCAAATGGGACACATGCACTCGTCCTCATGCGTTGGGAGCTTGTGGTAGTGTGCCAAAAGCTGGTTCCACTACATTGTGGCAGGTGTGGAAATCCTTCCTGGCACATGCTAGGCAAAGAAGGGACTTGACGTAGGTTTGTTTCTGTAGTCAAAACAAAAAAAATTCCTTCCAGTAGCACCTTAATTTTTTTTTATTTTTTTAATTTTTTTTTGTTTTGACTATGGCAGACCAACACGGCTACCTGTTTGTTTCTGTAGTCATCGTTTATGAAATTGGTTGTGAAACTAGGCCTTTACTTTATAATACCGGTTTGCACTTTCAACACCATTAAAAATTATTTGTATTATGACGTAATATATATTCTTTGGCTTGTGCTCTTAAGTGTAGACTTGGATAAAGAGGGCTAAATCAGAAGTGTGAGAAGCCCACAAACTAGATAACTCTGAAATGCAAGTCAATTTTCTTGCACTTATACAATAAAACTCATGCCATGTGGATATGCCATGCCATGTGGATTGTATTTTTAATCTTTGTTGGAAGCCGCCCAGAGTGGCTGGGGAAACCCAGTCAGATGGGCAGGGTATTAATAATAATAATAATAATAAATTTTATTTGTATCCCGCTCTCCCCAGCCAAAGCCAGGCTCAGAGCAGCTAACATCATATAAATAAGACAATATGCATAATACAATATACAATATGCAAATCAAATAACATTGAACATTCATTAAAATAATATAGAATATTAAACATCAGCATTTAAACAGAAATCCACTCAACAGTTACAATAAGTAATCAATAAAACAACAGCAAACCACAGTGCACAACATAATACAATACAAAATGAAAAGCAGAGACTGGAGGGTGGAGCAAGGCAGGTGGAAAGAGGCCTTGCCTGATAGAGTCTCTCCCCTCACAGTTCTTCCTCCAGGCACAGTTTACTTATGAAGAATCCCAGGGCCAGGGGGTGGGGCAAGGCAGGTGGAAAGAGGCCTTGCCTGATGAAGTCTCCCCCCTCATCTTTATTATTATTATTATTATTATTATTATTATTGGCTCAAGGAAAACCTGTAGCACGGCGGTAGTATGCATGATGTTAGCCCCTTGTTTGTCCAAGCAGTCTGGGTAAGACTCTTGCCTGAAACCCTGCAGAGCAGTTGCCAGTCAGCACAGAGCAGTGGTGGGGCATCTGTGGCCCTCTAGATGCTGTTGGGCTCCAATTCCCATCAGGCCCAACCAGCATTGACAATAAACAGGAATGGTGGGAGTTCAGTAACATCTGGAGAGCCCCAGATTCCCACCCTGCATACAATCTTTGCAGACAATACTGATTGAGATGACTCAATGATCTGACCTGGTAGAAAGCACCTTTCAGTGTTCATGTAACTGCAGAGACTTTGCTGTATCTGCACTTGCTGTTGCCCGAGGTGTAGACAGGCCGCAAAAGAGGGGCGATGAGTGCTAGATGGACTGCAGATTGTGATAGTAAATGTGGATCTACAATCTCAAGGACCTATGTGCGTGGGAATGCATTTATACAGGGCAGCATGGCCAAATGATCTGGTGCACGAAGCAGGGTACAGAGTTGCTGGGCAAGGTCTACGAAAGCTCAGTCTTGTTCTAATATCTGCTTAACAGCCTTAATTACCTTTCAACAGTTTCTGTGTTTCCTGGCTATATTCGGTTACAATGGGAACATGCCAGAATCCGGAGCCTTTTGCCACAGCAGGTGTGGTCCTTTCTCGGGCAGCCATTGCAGCACCTTTAAAAGAAAGGTAGGGAAATGCATTTTCTGCATTGGTTAGCACTACAGCTCTAAGACATATTCCATCACCAAATATAGTTTTACAAATAAACGTTGGTCAACATCAACAAATTTTACCCTTTCACCATGCTGTCAGGTACTACTGAAAAAAAGATGGGGAGTGAAAATTATTCTTTGAGAAGTTACAGGTAATGGTTGAAATGAATTCAGGATTTGATTGCCTTATATGCAGGCCAGTCCTATGCATATTTACTGGCTACTGGTTGCTAATGTGCTTCCAGGCCATATTCATGGTGCTGGTTTTAACCTTGAAAACCCTTTGTATTCCATCATTGAAGGGGATGGGAACCTCAGTTGGTAGAAGCAGATTTGTTTACAGCATTTGCTCTCATCCTGAATAATGATCTCAGACCTGAAAAGCTGCAAATCATTGGCTTACTTTAGAAAGACATGAGGCTTTCAAATGGCTTTTGGTTTGGGGGGACAGGAGGCAAATTACAAAAAGCAGCTGATGCTGTTACAGTTCTGTGTTTTTTTTTAGAACTGTGTTTGAGATGCTATTTTAAATATTGATTAATTTCTTATATGCTTCTCTTACGAATAAAAACACATAAAAACTCAGAAATCAGCCCTTCAGACTTCAGTGGGACTTAGTACCAAGTAAGATCTAAAGGGCTGTCACACAGAAGATTGAGAAAACTTGTTTTCTCCTGCTCTGGAGGGTAGGACTCAAGCCAATGGATTCAAGTTACAAGAACAGATATTCTGACCAGTGTTACAAACTGAGATATGAAAGCTAGGAGCTAAATGGCACCTTAAACTTAGGTTATGGGCACCGTAATGGAGTGTCTAGACACACTTTTTAATAAGAATACAAAGCTGAAAATGAATGAACCACAGCTAAAATCTTATGCTCATTTTTCACATGGTTTAGTCCTCATCTGAAGGCTGCAAAAAACAAAGCCATACTTTCCCTGCCCACCCTCCCAATATTCCTATGAGGGTCCTTTCTCCAGTATTCAGAAAGTGGCTGGAAGTGAGGAGGCAGAAAAAAGGGCCCCTTTTTCTTCCAGCAGTGGCAGTTTTAATCTGAAATTATGTACTGCGCCCAGAGCTCAGAAACTGTTCACATTAATGAAATTCCCTGTCGCAAAATGCGCCTAGAACAATGGGAGTTCCGAATGCTGATTCCGACTAAACATCAGGAAGAATATTATGATGGTAAGAGCTGTTCAACAATGGAATGAACTCCCTCAGAAGGTGGTGAACTCTCTTTCATTGGAAGTTTTTAAGCAAGGGTTGGATGGTCATCTGTCATGTGATGGAGGGCTGAACTAGCTGATTCTTTGGTCTCTCCAGCTCTATGATTCTAGGAAACCAAATATTTCAGGTATTATTGGACCATATGAGTTTCTCATGCTGAGGCTGTATACACACCATATATTGAAAGTCGACATGCCCCCCCACCGCAACTGTAGTTTGTTAATGGTGCTGGAACTGCAGCTCAGTGATGGCTAAACTACAGTTGTCGTAATTTGGGACGTGGGGAGGCGGAGGCACTCAGCCAGAATTTCTCACAAGACCAATTTAAAGACAAAAATGATTATCTTTATTATTTTATTTTATTTTATTAAATCTGTATACCACCCTTCATCCGTAGGTCTCAGGGCAGTTCACGGTATAAAAAAACGAGATAAAAACACGTTTCATAAACAGTAAAATACAAAGCAGCAATCCCAAAAGGGAACACACAGCCCCTCGTGCATGTTGCTGCAATATTCCGCGTACATTTCTTATTCCTGACTCGTTCTAGGGGGCATTTTGGCATCGCACGTGACGCCACGGAGCAGCTGGTTACCTCGAAAACAACGGAGGGACTACCCTCTTTTCTTCCCATCCGCCTTACATATACCGTGGTCGCCCCCAATTCCACCCTTTTACCTTTAAAAGAAAAAAGTTCCCTCATAGGATCTTAATTGTTCCCTTCATTTGTAGGGGTAAGACGAATCCCTCACATCCTCCTCCTCCTCTTGCCCGAGCTGGCGGCTCCCGTCGCCATAGCAACCGCCTCCTGCGTCCACTTCCGGTGACGTCAGCTACGACCCGGAACGACTTGCGCCTAGAAAAAAATCGTTGCCAGTAGAACGTTTGCGAGGCTTGCGCGCGGCGGCCCGGGTGCCGTTTGGGGTTTCTTGGCTCCCTCGTGCTGGGCGCCTCGCTTCTCGTCGGAGCCTCTGGTATCGCGAGAGGTCGCCCCGAACCCGGAAAAGGCGCAGCATGTCTGACAACGAGGATAAGTAAGAAACCCTCGTGAGGGGTGGGGGTGGGTCGCTGGGGTTTCTGTAGGCAGCAGCGGTGGTATTTACGCAGGGCGCTTATTTTGTGCTGTGCCGCCGGATTCCCAAATATTGAACTCCATTATTGACATTATTCTTATTACGTCCTCCTTCCAAGGAACTCAGGGCAGCCTACCTGGTTATTCCTATCCACATTCCATCCACACAACAACCCTGTGAGGTAGGTTAGGTGGAGAGATAGGGACTGGCCAAAACTCAACCAGTGAGCTTCATGGCTGACCAACAGTTTTGTGGTGGTGATGGCCACAAAGGTTCGATGATTTTAAAAGAGGACCGACCAAATTCATGGAGGATAAGGCTGCCAGTGACTATTGTCCACAGTGGCTATGCCCTGCTGCCACAGTTGTCAGCAGTACTGGCTTTGAATACCAGTTTTGTAGAACTACAGGAGGGGAGCATGGGTTTTTTTTTTGAGGGGGGAGCAGGACTTTTGTTAGGGGAGAGGGCAGAAGCGATGTGATTGGTCAATTGGTTAAGTATTTCTATTATTTTACAGTGGTACCTCAGGTTACAGACGCTTCAGGTTACAGACTCCACTAACCCAGAAATAGTACCTCGGGTTAAGAACTTTGCTTCAGGATGAGAACAGAAATCACCTGGTGGCATGGCAGCAGTGGAAGGCCCCATTGGCTAAAGTGGGACCTCAGGTTAAGAACGGACCTCCATAACGAATTAAGTTCTTAACCCAAGGTACCACTGTACTTTATCTGGGGAGGGGGGGCAGCTTCCCTCTCTGCCCCCTTTGGCTATGTCCATGGAGGGGAGAGCAGTCTTGTGCTCAAATCCAGATTTTGGTAGGTGGTGGTTGGGTTCTTTTCTTTCCCTTTTTCTTATACTGCATTCAGGTAAAAAACCTGAAAGGCTGTGATTTGTCTCTGGTCGTTCTTTAAACTAGTTGCCAAGCTGAAACATAAGCCAAGCAGTCAGTTCAAACTCTCAGAAATTAATATGACTATTAGCACATTTCTTCCAAACCATGCTCATAAGTTTCTCACCTCACATTATGTATAGTATTTTGAACTGGTCCCAAGTGTTTTAGAAAAGTTGGAAGGAATCCAGTGGCCTTGAAGCAGGACTAGTGGCCCACAAACTTTGACTAGCCACTACTGCATGTTGCCACCAATCTTTCCCCAAGTCTTCTGCGATATGCAAAAGATTCATGCTGGGATTTGGAGATTCTTGGAAGATGTATGAGAGCTGTGATGGCAGGTTTCAGTTCTCCAATCTTGGAAGCCTTGGCAAAGGAGATGAGTTGAACATATTTTGTTGATGATTTTGCAAAGGGAATCTTGCTGTTAGTAAAGTTTAAGCAAGATACAGTAACTAGCCAATTCCACAAAAAGTTATTTGAGTATTTAGTGGCTATTATGAAAACAAGCAAGAGAGTATTTGAAGACAGTGATGTAGTAAGATTTGAGCTCTGAAATTTTATATAAGCCTTTGATACATTTCTTCCTCCAGTTTTGATGGAGATGATTTTGATGATGTGGAGGAAGATGAAGGACTGGATGATCTGGAAAATGCTGAGGAGGTAAGTGACTTCAGTATATGGTGTCCTATAGCCTATGTAAACATCCCAACATTTACCTGCAGTTCTTGTATCTGTGTCTGTAACCTGTACCTGAATGGTTCCTATGCCCAACAACAACAACTCCGCCAAAACTCATGTGATAAGAACTATAGAAAAAGATTAGGGAATAAGTTCTGATCTATTAAGGTGAACATATCTCATAGCCTTACCTTTTTTTGAAATGGTAAAACTTAGCCTTCTGTGTTAATCAAATAAATACTTCTCTCTAATGGTTTTCCTCTTTCAGACCTTTATTTTAATATATTTTATTGAAATCTTCTTTGTAGATTTGAATTTGATCTCAAGTGGCTCTAACAGCTAATACACATATAACTCTGTGAATATGGCTATAATTCCTTATATTTGTGTTACAGGAGGGTCAGGAAAATGTAGAAATCCTCCCCTCTGGAGAACGCCAGCAGGCAAACCAGAAGCGAATCACCACTCCTTATATGACCAAATATGAGCGTGCCAGAGTTCTTGGTACACGTGCCCTCCAGATAGCGTAAGTATGATTTTGGTCCAGGAATATGGATATTAGTCAATGAAGATTGGTAGAACTTATTTCATGTGTTACTACTGTTTAGAACTACACCTAGTTCTTATCTCAATCCTCTCCCCTCAGAAGATTTGGCGTTCCAACCAAGGACAATATCCCTGTGCTATAAAGCAAGTTAGGTGCTTTAGCCAAATCCCACAAGGTTTTAGGCTTTTTCTATAATTTTCTGCCCCCTTCTGTTGCCCCATTGTGCAACTGTTCCCCTCCATAAATCAATAATAAAATAACATTTGGGAAGCATTTCAGAACAACTAATGAAGTGGAATGATGTGAGGATGGGCCAGTAACACACTGTTATAGTGTCAGTGACATGTTGCAAAATACACCCCCACAAAACCCTGGTCTTGAGGGGCCACGTGTGTGTCAACTACGCATGCAGTGGATCGCCAAAAGAAGTAAGCTGTGCATAAGGGGTGACAAAAAACAGGTTGCATATAATCTGCCACCTAATCTCACCCACTGAAAGCTTTTTATATGAGCATGTGAAATTGCACCTTTTACTCTGGTTCTAGGTTTTCATATAATTCCAGTCTCTTATATTGTCATAAAATAGGTACAGTATCTCATTTTTCTAGAGTGCTGTTATGGAGATGTGCTTTAAATTATCTAAGAGATAATTTTTTGGTATTTTTTATTATGGGTCCACAAACATGCAAACCATAAATGCATTATAAACAACACAAAACCTGAAAAGGTTAAAACTTAAAATAATTTAAGCATCAACTCAATTAAAAAAAATGTTTATACTTAAAGTAGTAGTGGAAATGAAAGGGAAAAACAAGCTTATCAGCTTACATACTAATTATATAACAAAATGGTACATAATATTCATTTTTTTCTTCATATTTTATATTATTGTAGTTAGCAAATACATTTTATTTTTCAGTGAATGTATATGATGCACAATCTTCTTTACATTGATAAGTAAGCTTAGTCAAGAAGAAAAGTGTTTTCTTCTTCTTAAAGAGGTTCCCATGCTGTATCTCAGTTAATACCTGTTGCTGCATAACTTAATATGCCATGAATACAGAATCGAGGCCTGTAGAAACTTCTAGGAGCTAGATCAGTATAGCATGCATAGTTATTTTGCTGAGAATGTTTCTTCAACTTCTCATCCAGGTGTAATATTAGATGTGAATGCAGTATTGACTTAGTGCATGTTTTGGTGATAATAATATGCAGGTTATTTCATGAAAAGACCAGTATTTCCAGGCAATCTTATTCATGTGCAAACCAGAATTTTTAGAAAGCTAATTTGCATCCATAATTGTTAAAATAAAAACTGTCTTAACAATACACCTTAGTGTATTGTCTAGACCAGGCACCCCCAAACTCGGCCCTCCAGATGTTTTGGGACTACAATTCCCATGATCCCTGACCACTGGTCCTGTTAGCTAGGGATGATGGGAGTTGTAGTCCCAAAACATCTGGAGGGCCAAGTTTGGGGATGCATTTTGTATGCTCTGAATAAATGATGTGTGGTCCAAGTCTCTTAAGTTTCCTGGTAAAACAATTTTTTTCTAATACATTGATGCTACTTATATTAGCATATAATAACTTCACTGTTCACACAAGGGAAGATATGAAGGGCAGGAGGTGGGATATCTATCTAGGCACCAAAATTACTACATCTACTCCAGTCTACTGGGCAAAGAGAAAGGGAAGCTTTAGGGTGAGGTACTGAAAGTACCTTGCTCCATCTGTGTTTGTTGTTACTTAAGATACCTGATGTCTTGCAGAAGATGGAGATTTTCCCTGCTTGGCATTCTGTAAAATCTGGAAGTGAAAAACAGCCCTTTTCTGCTCAGGATTAACTGGTCACTGAAAGTGGAGTGATGTCCAGTGTTTGGCAATATATTCTGTTTAGGGCTTCAGGGAAGCACATGGAATCAGTGTAATGCAATACAGTACTCCTGAGCTGAGCCTAACAGTATCTTTCCACAACATTGAAAGGGCAAAAATAAAATGTAGTTTGTAGATACAAAAGATCCCTGGACTGCTTTTCTCCCTAAAGTTAATAGGAGTCCCACATAGCGCAGTTGCTTTGATAAGCCAGCTGAGACATGTTTGCTGGCGCCTGTCAGAATAATGTGCGTGTCTGACAATTATACTCTCTGTTTGCTTTATTTATTTCAGATATTTCTATTCTGCCTTTTTGTCCGCAAAAGGGCCCCTAAGGTGGCTTTCAATTTAAAAACTACAATAGAAAATTTTTAAAACACAATCAAAACATCTCAAACAAATAAAGCAAGTGGTATTAAGTGACCTCAGTTAAAATAGCAGCAAGTAGAAATCATGAAACTAGGTCAAAAAGCTAACAGTAGAAGGATAAAAACACAGGTTAAATAAAAAATATGATGCAAGATGGAATTCACTGCCCACTCTGAACTGAGACTAGAGCTGCTACTGCCACACAGTATATCTCTATTGCTGTAATGATTTTGGAATTGTTTTCCCTCCTCCCAGCATGTGTGCCCCAGTGATGGTAGAGCTAGAAGGAGAGACGGACCCGTTACTGATTGCAATGAAGGAACTCAAGTAAGTTGGAGATTTTAACCACTTGTGCATGATTTGTTG